AAAAAATGTTTGGGTACACCGTGCATATTCCCACTCGCATATCTCACAGCAACCGTACTATCAAAATGAAGATTCTGTTTTTTGGGTTTTTTTTCTCAAGATAGGGAGAGTAGGGGGTGGCTCGTGAAACGGGCTTGTGGACAAGGAAGCTGAGGGTCAGGTGCAAAATTTTCTAAGACGGGAGCTCTGGGGCGTATGCACCAAGCTAATTGGACAAAAAAGTATACATAATCTCATTTGTACGAGTAGCCCTTCTTAGCCTCACCCTACAGCAAACGTGCCCCAATTTTGCTCTTTTATGCGGAAGTAAGCACGCATTCCACGCAGAGAGGAGACAAAGCTTCGACGATCGTTTACTTCTGAGAGTTGGCTATTTACTGTGACACAGAGCGTGCACGTGAACACTGCAGAAAATATGGTGCTGTTCATCTTACCATTAGGGGGGAGACATCTTGTTAGGTTCTGTTGACGTGGGATCCCTAAGCCGCTGTGAGACTACGAAATGGCAGGAGCATAAACAGATCACATTTTAGGAACATGTGAGTCCTTGCAAAGCTAATACAGCCACACGTAATGAAGCTCCTATCATCTCGTGAATCTACAAAACTTTACGCTCCAGTTCGACTAGGGGGGTCGTTGCTTGACATTGCTTAGGTCGAAGCCATCAAGTAGAGATTTCTGGAATCTTGTGAGGTAACGAAGTGATACCAGTCAAAGTGTTTAGAAACTACCAGTCGGCCCATGTAAAGAAAATCTGTCAGCCTTTGTAAGGCAATGAACACGACAACGGGAAGCTGTGAAAGTGCAACATGCCCTCCCACCCCACGTAGCCGAACTGCGCCGAGTTTACATGTCTCAGCTGAGTCGCTTCGTGGAACGTACTCCATTTCGCAGCTTTACAAGAGTTTATAAGTCTCACTGAAGTCCTCTCCTCCTCTATGGCGAACGGCTTCTAGGACGGTACGCTTAACGAGCGGGTCACCTTTATCCTTGGAGAAAGGGGCTTATTCTGCTGCTATTCTGCTGATTCATTGAATTGCTGACAGGTCTGCATACTGAACGTTGAGCGCTGATCGGCTTGGGAAGGGCATGTTCACTAGTTGCTTTTGCTAGCAATACTCCTGCAATTGCATAGCTTTGCAGGAGTTCACAGGTATTTACAGATCTCCACAAGATGTATCCGTAGTGATCTGTGGGAACCAGAGACACGCTCCCACCAAGCCGAACTGCACGAAAGTTGTTTCCGGAGGGGCAGGAGATGTTCACCTCCCCTGCCGACGAGTTTATTTTGAGAATTTGTAGGCTAGAGGGAGGGTAATGGAGGTGCAGGGGTGAGGGTAATTGGACTTCTGGATTAAGGGGGGAGAGGCAGCGCTGGAAGCAGTCTTAGTGGAAGACAGTTCTTCTGATCGCCATAGCGTGCGCTTGTTTCGTTCCAAGCTCCAGCCTAGAAATGGGGCTAAATCTTGCAAGATTCCATCATCCTTCTAGATATCTTTGAAGAGAGGACTAGTTCCTTCCTAAATCGGAAATTGAGCTTAATTTATTCCATTTCAATTATGATTATGTTAGCTCACTACGATATTTATGCGCATACGGTAACTGAAGACGCCACGGCGACTAATTCTCGACCGGAAATTAGCATTGGTACAGCTGATCCGCACGTCTAATCCTCTCGTCAACTACAGCTTAGCCGACGATAACATTTGCACGTACAGAACAATCACAACCGGGTGGGCGGAGCTTCGTCCAAGACGTCGGCCAATGACGAAAGAGCAGAGCTGCCATGAGGGGCGGTCTGAAGTGATGGATGGCCATCAGCAGTTAGTCCTCGCAACCATGATGCAGTTACAATACCCGTTTGAAGGCTTCTCATCAACAAAGCACGAAGCTACTGTGAGTTTTACAGTCAGACAACTATGTAAAGTGGGCCAAATTTTCTTGTGATTAGGGTCTGTTGTGGATGGGAGAAGGCGAAGTGCGTGGCCACGCCTAGGACCACTCTATTTTCCATCATCATGGGATCTTTCGTTTTTAGGAGGAAAAAAAAGGAACCCCTCCGAGAGATTCGACCCTGGAAGATTCGAAACCATTTGAGCTGCGAAATTTGCAGCTTTCTGCATCCGTGAGCTGAAAGACCCAGGGGTTAAGTAGCCGCGTTGCTTAAGGGGAGCGTGCGAATACTCCTCCAGGGAGACCGACCCGGAAAACCCTAGTACTGCAAAGATTGTAGCCTCCGACTGTGACTGACAAGCTTCTTCGGGGTAACGTGGGGTCGTTAAAAAGGTGAGTAGGTAAATGACCAGAAAACCATTGGAAACGGGCGGGCTTGCAGCTTTCTAAGCGGATAATAAGGTTCTAAGGGGTGACCTGGTGCTGCTAGAAAGGTGCCCAGGTAGTTTCATTTCAGAAGAGGCTACTGAACCCACTTCCTGGAAAACAGAGACTGTGCGGGAATGTCTCCTAAGCTCCCCTGTGCGCTCATATAGCTAAGCGCTTCATAGAGTCCCCAGATAAAGTTTTTTCTTTGCCCTCGTAGCGCTATGGGGTAATGCACTCTAGCTTTCTTATTTTAACGAATTTCCTTTGAAGATACTGTATCACCGACGTCAGATCGGCGAATGCGCCGGAATCGTACTGCGTTCAGCGACGAACAACTCGATCAACTTGAGAAAACGTTTGAACAGTGCCAGTATCCCGATATCGCTCAACGAGAAAGACTGGCCAGACTAACTCAACTGCCTGAGGCTAGAATTCAGGTATATTTTTGGGTGCTTTTTCGGAATGTCCAACTTTGCGAAACTATGTAATATGAAACACAACAGTTATGTGGAAAACTAAATTAAATAAATAAATAAATAAATAAAGTAAATAAATAAATATGTGTACTTTGGAGAAGGTAGGAAGCTAAGGGGGGGGGGGTGGTTCATTAATGAGCGAACAGTTATGGCTACCCCTTGTGCAAGGCACTGCTTTCAAGTGTAATGTATCCTGGTTGAAGAGTGTCCTAATCGATTTCTTCTAGGGAGTGTGTCCAGATCCGTAGGCGAACAGCGTGTGCGCGGAATCAGCGCGACATGGTCGTGCCGCTAAAGGTGGTCGTATTGCAGGAGTCAGTATATAAAAAAGAACAGCAGCGATAAAGCATGGAAATAATGCCACTCGCCTTCTTTGTATGTCATGGAGCGCGGTTTCTTCGCCGACTTGAAAAAAGCTCCGCGGAAACTGAATCCTATTCGGCGCGCGTGATGTCCTTTAAAGGCAGTTGGCACGATAAATCGTTATACAGGTGTAGGATTTGTACAACTGGCTTAACAGAATTCCGTGACCTCGGACAGGCGCTGCGTGGAAGCCTTTTCCAAGGAGGGTCCCTCTATACCCCAATAGAGCAGACAAACTTTACGTCCCATAACGCCCTTCGCTGGCCCGCTGCCCCACAAACGGTGCGACCGTTTCTGACGCTCGTATTCATTCATTTGCTGAGCAAATTATAAAGCAAAGGGATTGGTATGAAGCGGCAGTGATGCTGCATGCATATACGGGTACACATATGCATCCGTACCTTCGGTAGCGGTGATTGGTAAGATGCGTACGGGAAACTCGTCCGAAATCGATTTACAAGTCACTGAGAACGGAGGCTTTTTCTTCGCCGGATTTTGACCGTTTCACTCCGTTCTTTCGCCATTTCCCCACTATACAGCGCCCTACTAGCATTTTAGGCTAAGTAGGAAACCATCGTGCCAACTGCCTTCAGTAGCGTCAACAGGACTTTAAGGTGAGTTAAGGACTATGTAAGGCTTACGGGCCTGCCTCATGTACCGCAGACAAGCCTGCTTTGAGTTGGGGATAAGTGCCGCAGTAGAGTGGATTATGGCACCAATGAGTGCATGACTTTAGGCAATAACCACACAGGAACAAAGCGTCACTCCTCCAAAAAGAGTGATAGGAGTGCTCATTGCCAAAGTTGAAAACCAGGTGGCGTCAGAGTTTTGTCGCACAATCGCAGCTTAATAGTGTTCATAACCCAATAACAAAACTCCGCCCCTCCTCCGCTCACACTTCCACCCAAACCTTTACCCCCGGTACTTGTGTGTAATACCAGTGTTGTGTAAGGCTGCGAAAGTTGTGGGAATTGTGCAGTTTTCTTATGGAACGCTTCAAGCATAAGGAAAAAAAACATTCGCGGAGCGTTCTCAGTATCCCATGAGCATCCATAGCAAACATTCTGTGCAGTGAGCTCTACTTATGTCACGCTAGAACTATAGGAAACGCAAACCAGTGTTCCCTGGCACACGTGTTTCACCAAGACAATCTACCGGTCGATAGATGTCTGAACACGTCTTCACGCCCTGCGTATGTGGCCCAGGGAAAGAGTCGAGAAATTCAAGGGTCGCCTCCTGAAAATTTAGCTGGGCTTCGTCCGCCCTGATCTTCTAGATGTTACCTCACACTGTATCAACATTGACATGTTGAAAAGACTCTCCGATTTGTAGATTACATATTGTTTTTAGAGGCCCTCTAAAAAGCCCTGCCAGAAGTGATTCTGCGTTCAAACCCTAAGTCAACATGTCGTCCCAACCAAGCAGCAGAACCTTTGTCGATCTCCGCCTAATCAACTGATGTTGTCATGGGCGCATTCGGCAGCTGGGAGGGGGGAGAGGGGGAGGGGGAAGGGGTGCCCTTTGCACTTTCGTTGCTCCTCACTGTCGTATCGAGTCATCAATGGAGACTTGCGAAGTTTGCTAAGTCAAGAGGTGGTAACAGAGAAGCTAGTTGTCAACACTTATGAAGTGAGGAAATACCAACAATGGGACGCAGTAAATAATTTTTTGGCAAAAAAAAGCGCCCCTCTCGCCAAAACTGCGCGCCCTTATCATGCTCAGGAAATATTTTTTATTAAAAATATACAGTGTAACAGTTTGAACGATCAATGACGTTGTTGTCATACGCTGAAGTATACGGTAGTGCCAGATTGTGTTTAGACAGCTGTATGGTTCTACACACACAACGAATTTGCGCGCAGGTGATATAAGGCGTTTAGAGCCCACGGGCCCACAATGGTGTATGCCCGAGGGATCCTTTAGTTGCCCCCGTTCTCTGCAAGACTATTTGAGCCAACGCTCAAAGGTAGTTAAGCCCTGATAAATGGAAAATTTTCAGTTTCAGTTCGAATCCGAAAGCAGCGATCCATACTATTTGATGACCTCATATGTATGTATTTCGGCGCTGTTGGCTTGGAGAGCAAGCATTTTACACTTTGCTGTTCCTAGTTCCTTTTGCATATTATCGCTGTAAATAGACCATCAATCCTTGGTGAGGCCTGTACTTCTTGTCAAAGTGGCGAGCGCACAGCCTCTTGAAACCTGCTAAATTTTCTACTACGATTCTAAATCTAAGTCTCCGATCTGTTTCCTACATATGTGAGTGGGTGACTCGAAAGCTAAAGATTGAGTAGACCCCTTATCTTTTTCAACAGCGGCCTAGTAAGTACGGGAACTAATCGATATATTGATTGGGAGTAAAGATTACTTGTTCATAATGGCACTAGTCATAGAAGAACTGGCGCTGGATGATTTGTTCAACGAGAACAGATGCTGCCCCTTCTAATCCGACGACGTCCTCTCTTCCTGTGGTTCCTTGCGTACTTCAAACGCTCACCGTCATGTGCAGTTACCGCTAAACCACTATGTAAATATGCACACCGTATCGACCTACCGTAACCTAACCAGTCATTGACACCTGCGCTGCAGAGAATGGGGAGGTGAGGGAGCAGATTCTGCCTTTGAACTCTTTGCTGCTCATTTTCAGGCGTCAGCAGCTTGAGTGTATTGAAGGACATTCCTGCAAAAGTGGGATTACTATAGTGAACATGTGAATGTAACTGTTGCGGGTCAAGCTCCGAAAAAAAAACGCGAAACTATAAAATATATAATCTTTATAAACTTCATATTATATTTTAAAATGTATTATTATATTTTAAAATGTAGTATTGGACCCGAATTCCAGGATATTTTTTTCACAATTTTACCCTCTGCTTCGAGGAACACTTTGGGCGTAGTTCGGCTTGGGGGGGGGGGGGTGGGGCATTTTGCTGGTTGTCATCGAGCATCACCTGTGACTCCTGTGGGTACCTGGTAATTCCTGTAAAGCTACGCAGTAGCAAGAGTTTCGCCTGCATTTGACAAGAATCTACAGGTCTCATCAAGGTGTGATCTGTAGTCTTAACAGTAACTGGTAAGAAAGGCTAGTGAAGGTGCAAAATGCCTTCCCCATTCCCAGCCGAACAGCGCCCACATTTGTATGCGGACCTCATTTTTTTACTTTGTGTAGTAATAGGTGCAACTAGCCCTGATGATGATCATTGGGTTTTCAGGTATGGTTCAAAAATCGTCGTGCAAAGCAACGAAAACATCTGAGGAATCAAAGTGGTGACGATACGTCTCCACCACCTATATCCTCAACACCTACACCCAAGGAAAATACAATATTCAGTGAGTTTTCCCCAATAAATACGACTTTTTATCGATTTTTCTAGCAATTTTGTAAGTTTCAGCTTGGACGCCCAGTACCGCTTTTGCAAACCTGTTTCCCCCACAAGCGACGTGTTATGGACAGTATCCGACGTTTATGCCATATCAGCAAAGCCCTGTGAGTCCTTGTGCTGAGTAAATATCGATTAGCTGATCGATTTATATGGTTCCGAAATTTATACGATTTCTATCGCTTTATAAAAGGTATTTTCCATGGAAAAACTCTCTACAAATTCGGGAAGCTTGTTGTATTCACCTGTAGACTGTGAGGAACTGATCAGTACCCCAGATTTGATCTGGGCTCCAGGTGTTAGCTACGTCGCAGTTCACATCTAACACCCAGTGTTGTTCAAAATCGAACCTAAAGGCGTGGTGCACTGTGATAGAGTGGGAGGAGTCCGGCCTGCGGATGTGCATTCCTCGCTGGTGCACCCTCTTCCTACGGCTTAGAAATGAATGAGAGGGGGAAGGCCAACGGAGACTGGTGGGCCACTGAAAGAACTGCGAAATGGTGGAGACCTGAATTCGCTAGTGCGATACGTATGGACTGTATATTCGAGGCAAACCCGATTCTAGTCTAAGATGAGGCAAAGGCGGTTTACCCTCAACTCAGCACCATTGTGATGAAATTCAAAGCTTCAATTTCTGACGCGACTGGTTCATGGCAATTATAATCACATTAATAATATTCTTCCAAACTTTGTTCAAGCCGAAAAGTATCCGGTCATTGAACTCATTCACACGATTGACCTTTCCTCTCTTGCTTAGCTTTAAGGAGTAAGTATGCTGCTGATTTCAAAAACTTAATGCCCTATCTCGCACCCTTAATGCCCTATCTACGTTTGGTCCTGTTCCTCTTCTACTTCCTACCATCGTTTTTTCTCCTTCCGTTTCTCCCCGTTCTTCAACCCTGGCTTGGCCAAAAGGTATCCAGTTTGGAACCGTGGTAGAAGGTGGTCTTGATTGTTAATTTGTCTGCCGGCGCAATTCTGAGGCAGATTTGCAGTAAAGCTCTTGTGCATGGAGCATTCCAAAAGAACTACCGTACCACTAAGTTCACTATTTGCCCCTCCTACACATTCTTGAACTCGTGGAAACGGTTCAACGTTCTTCCGGCTCCTGTCTCATCAGGTTGACCGATAAGAGAATCAATTTTCGCTGACTTTTACCTCGATCGAGAACCTCTGTAACCGAAGAAGTGTACAAACAATGATTACAGTATTGCCGATACAGAACAACCTCGGTGACCTTTAGCTCGAGTTCACATACGCTCGACAACCTGGCGCTCAATACTATCAGGTTACTAAGCCGATTTGGGTAACAGTAATTGTCACAGCAGTTACACAATCACTATGTGCAGGACCTTATTTAGGTAAATAATGTAGTTGGGTTCCAAATACAAGCCTGCGCTTGACTACTGAGAATACTCCGTTGCTTATAAATCCCTTTCAGAATGCGCCATAAATTGAAATTTTGGATAGAAAGTCCCTGAATTAGAATTGCCAAGCAGGCCTGGTCCTCAACTAATCCTTTTGTCATGCCTTCCTACTTATTATTCGCTGCCGCTTCAAAGAACTCAGAAAAATCTGCCCTCGGAGCAAGGCCAGTAAAAACTGCCTGATTTCGGGAGATTGAGGCAGTCAAGCAATAAATATGTAGTGGCTCTTTTTCTCCAGCAGGTGTACTGCTTACAATGCAGGGGGTGCGTGTCACGAGATCTGAATTGCGGCAATAAGTAACAACCAGCTCGGCGCGTGAGACATTTCCTAGCTAGTGGACTCGGCTCATTGTAGCACTCTTAAGGATCTACGGACAACTTGAACTCAAATCCTTTGAACGCGTCTAATTTGTTTTTCTTTGCTCTCTCGTCCGCGTGGCACTCTATGGTCATTGTGAGTTCGCACATTCCAGCTTTTCACGTGTGATAAGTGGCTCACCCACCCCCCACCGGAGTCCCCTACCCTTGAAAAAACTAGTTTCGCGGCTGGCCATAATAGTTCCTTGCACGTCTTGATGCTTTGGCAGACGCTGTCCTCTAGCTGCTGCGTTTCTTCTTCTCGCAACAGGACCATGTACAAAAGTTCAACATGTCACGCAACCTTGCTTTAGCCAATCAGGTCCTGGTGCGAATGCCGCGCACGTGACTCATGTTACAGCGCCGCTTTCACCGTGCCGCTGCAATTCGAACTTTTGGCGCGTAGCCCAGAAGGTCGTTGATTGGCCGTATCTCAGAAGTGATCATCTTTCTCTCTTGGAGGAATACACTCCACATAAGCTGATGTAAGGTACCGTACACTTCATGGATTTTTTTCAGGTTCAATTCCAACACATTCCTTCGCCCTTCAATATGTGATGTGTAGTGCTTCAAGCAATTTTCGATTCTTGAGGTAGCGTTTAGACTTCGTGCTGTCGCGCTACAACGCGCTACCATTGCAATAGCGCTGCAATGCTGTAGCACTATGAACCGGTTATCGATCGGTACAGAAAGCTTAGTGTTTTTGAAGGGTCTAGGAGAATAGGATAGTATCAGATTGCATGCGCTTGTGTTTCGAGAGGGTATAAGAGAATGAGAGGGTATCAGACTGCGCGATTAGGCGCCCAACCATATTGTCTCACTGTGCGGTACGCTCCCATTCTCTCGTACTCTCCCAGAACACCAGCAGCCAGTACCAATCGATACCCGGTCGTGGCAGTTGTGCGCGAGCGTTGCACTTGTAGTGCGTCGACGCGCGTCATTGCAAAGTCTGAACGCTGCCTTCTCTTCTAGGTAGAATACTGTATTAGCATGTGTATTTTCATACTTGCACAAATAAACTTGCCAGTTTATTTACTTTCTCCATGTTCTATTTACATCCACATGACATAATTCTGATTATTTCGTTGGTCCATCAATCCATGCACTACGTCATGCACATTTTCTTGCATTCATTGTACGTCTCGAAATTGTTCGCATTACCGTCTCGTCCGTAGAATGTGAAGAGCATACAATTCTTTAGACTTTTACTGTAGAAATATCTGAAAGTAATAAAGATTTGAAAATGTCCAGTACTTTGACCGGACTGATGGCACTTCGTTTCAGGCGAAATGAATTTCCTGCAGCTTGGCGGCTGGGCTGCGCGTTTGCCTTGCGTTACACTCCATATCTCGTACATGAGGAGGGCGTGGCTGTACTTCATTCGAACGCAACGGCGGGATATTGGGATATTGCTCTTTAGGGACACTCTAATCATGCCTTTACCAAGAACAAAACAGGATGACAGTTGTCTCAAATAAAAATATCCGGCGAAAACGCATCCTACGCCAAGACCGACTGAAGCATGCAGCCACGCCCTCTCCATTTCCGTGATGTGGAATGCATTTCGCGTCGCCACTGTTCTCTGAGGCATCCAAAAAAAAACTGGTTTTTTTTTTTGTTGCCGTGAGCGCATCCATCGTCCCTGTCTAATGAGCACAGTTTTCTTCTGATTTGGGCGCTAAGGTAATTGAGGGCCACTTGGCGAGCAGGGCATGTCCTGAAGGAGGGCGTGAAATTTTTTGCTTGATCGTATTAATCCCCTCGCGCTTCCCCACTGTCCACATTTCCGAATTTGTTCCTTTGGAATCCTGCCGTCAATGCATTTCCGAAAGTGCCTATTCTCAGCCGAATAGGCCTTGCGCACTGTGATAGACGCCGCACGTTCCAGCTCTTGCGCCAACTGGTTACCTCTCAGTTCAATACGAACGCACTTTCAATTCCTTGACCCTCGATTCATCTGGAGCGTAATTTCGTTAAAAAAATCACGGACTTCCTCTCACCTTGGAGTATGGGATCCTTTATCACCGAATTTCCCAGCATCGTATTGCAGGTTGCATAGATAGTCTGAACATTATCAGTTGAAAACAGATAAATACACTTTGCAAATATGTTTAACAAAAGCGGCA